CGCGCGCGCGCGCGCGCGCGTGCGCACACACACACACACCACACACACACACACACACACACACACACACACAAGCACACACACACCTGAGCGCACACATTCCGCTAGTACAACCCTTCCCTTCTCGTCCACTGTCTCTGTCTCCTTCACCTGTTCCTTCCCCTCTCGTTCTCATGATTCCTCATTCCGTCTCTGTGCCCACCCCTCACTCTCCCTTGTTTTCGCTGTCAGATAATCATAACTGTTACTCGACTCTGTATTTGATCAGTGATGAAAAGTGACATGATTATTGGTTTATGAACTTTACGCCCGAGCTTAGTTGCTTTTCATGTTGAGAAGCAAAAATGGTGTCAGAGCTGGTTTCCTTACCGCACTGTTCTGTGTGGACCAACGGTAGCTACCTCGTTGTCATAATGAATATGACAATCTTCTGACTCTCGCCACCTCCGCCTGCAACACCTATACAGTACCATTTGCCAATTTCCTCCCTCCATTCTCCGCTTGTCCAGGGACCTTCCTCCTTGGTTCGCCACACAAATTTGCCCTTCCGTTCGCCATCAATTTTTCTTCAAGAAGCATCCACCGCACATGCTGAGGTCTCAAGATTCTCATGCAATGGCAAAGGCCGATGATGAGGCCATGCGTGTATGCGGGCGCCTGGCTATAGAGACACCGTTGCTGACGGTAAAGTCCAAGAAGCATCCTGGGGTTCAAATATGAGCCTCGTAATCTCGCAATGTGCTGGAACACCTCGGAAGGTAGGATAGTACGAAGTGTTTCCTCACTTAGATTTCTAACTGAATGGTTTTTGGCAAACACCCCTACATTTTCTACTCCAAAATTGAAATTCATCTCCACTTTTGCTTTTTTCAAAATTTTCTTCCATTTCATGTTCCAAACAAATGAATCGAGTTGTCATCCCTGTTTCACAGAAAGATGGCGCAGACGTGTGGATGCAAGGACTAAGAGCGATACTCGGTTGCATCGTTGCATCCGTATGCACTCAAGGCATCCGTATGCATTCATGGAGAGCGATACTCGGTTGCATCGTTGCATCCGTATGCACTCAAGGCATCCGTATGCATTCATGGCGATGAGCACATTGTGCATGTGGCAAACCAAGAGATGATGTAACAAAAGTGATCGACCAAAGTCTACCAAAATGTGACGTGCTGATTCAAAGGCTAGGAAAGAAAGGAACATATGAACAGCACCCCGTATGTTCTGGTGTCCTTCATGTCAGACAGAAATAACCTGGAGGGAAGGGGGGCCGAGGTGGGGGGGCGGGGTGGGTGGGGGTGGGGGGGTGGGGGGGGGAAAGTAGGGGGTTTGTTGGCAATCCAGGTCCAAAGTTCCATATGGCATCATGTTGGTTACACTAGGTACGGTTGTGCCATTGCATTGTGCTTCCCATGAGATCTGAGGTGCTTTTGCTTTCCCTCACAGCCTGGAATCAATGCTTTTGATATCGATGGCAGTCCAGGTCTGAAGCATGATCCTGTTCGTAAAAACGACTGTGCTCGTGCTTTCCTTCACATCATTTCAGCTTCAGAATGTTTGCTTGCCAGAAAACACATCATTAATGCTCAATTCCAGTTAGAGATTGACACGAGGAGGTAGGTACATATATATACTTAGAGGTTCATCCTTTCTCCTTTTTCGTTTTCAATTTTTATAAAAGGGCGACGGCCTCGAGATATCATCGTGGAAGTGACCGCCCCCTGGTAATTCAGAAATTCATTCAGCTACGTAGTTCCATCTGGACTCGAGCTGACATCTGTATTTCAACAGTTCGTGGGTGTACCAAAACTGAGCTACCGTCTTCCCCCGAATAAAAGGCCCGGTCATTAAAGCTGTATTTGGTGCATCTTCCAGTCCAGATACAGCTATAATAACCAGGCGTTGTATTCAGGTGAAGACGGTAGGCCTGTTGGTGGATCATACTTTCTCTTTTTTTTCTTTTTTTTTTTAATCAGAACCTCTTGGTTCTGGCTCCTGCCATTCTGGGGGGCGACAGTCCAGTTCCTATTCCCCTGGCAAGTCAATAGACAAGTACAAGGTTGACTCACCCACACTCCTCCCCATGATGGTTGAGAGGCCCGAGTGGACGGCATTGATTACTTCCAGTAGGAAGGATGTACCACCCCTCACCCCTGCCTAAGGGCCTTGCTCCACTACTCTCGAAATGTGCAAAAAGAGAGTGAATCTTCCTCTAGAACATAGAAAGATACACCACGATGATTTTTGTCTTATGTGCATTTCTGGAGTAGTGGAGTGAGGCCCTAAGTTAGCTCATCGGTGTGTGTTTGCAGTATTTAGTAGAGCTTTGTGTGCCTATTTTGTCACCAATTGCGCCTCTCAGCTGTATGTATAACTGTCAGTTTTGTGTGTGTGTCCAGTGCAAGCTGCGACTGATGATCCCTGTTGGTTTCTCTAAAGCCCCAGAACTTTGGGGTTTCCTTCCTCCAGGAATGTCTGCTGTCTAGGACTGTTTGTGCTTCTACCTTTTGGTGCCCTTGAACCTGTACTCTATCCTTGGTCTGCCTGTTTCCGTCTTTTTAAGTCTGGTGGTGTGTTTTTTGTCGGTCGAAAACCCTAAACCCTCTAGATTGTCTTCCTCTGGGGTTTCTCTTGTCATCTAGCTTTTACTCTGCAGGTTTGTTTGAAATTAGGCTCTTCCTTCACTCTTATCTGCTATGGGGCTGTCTCGTTTATCCGGCTAGCTAGGGTAGTGCCAGTGTGCTCTACTGTTCTCTTTTTGTTGATCTGTAAGCTATTATTCTGTGTCTTCCGTATCCTGTGCTTCTGGCTAGTTAAGAGTCAGAAAATGCCCAAAAGGGTAATCTCTTCTTCCTCTATATAATGTCTAAAGGTATTACATCATTTACATGTGTTTTCCTGTGCGAGCTGGGGGTCCTCCCATAATGTGAATACGATTACCTTCCCTTTTTCATTTTTCCTATCTTTCCGTTGGCCAGTGCTACCGGTAGGTCGTCGAATCTTAGTCTGTGTTCTATCATCCTTTCTTCATCTCATCAAAGCTCTGTGGAATAGTAAAGTGCCATGACTAACTGGCGTCAAACTCCCCATCTTTTTCATTGTTGTTATGATGGGCATCATGGGCGTGTTCCAGGTCGGCAAGCACGCGTCTATTATTCTGCACAACAGGTATCTTGCTGCGTCGGTTTGCAAGCGATCCTGACCTCGCAGAAGTTACACATGTAATTGTCGATGAGGTCCACGAACGCACGATTCAGGTGAGCGATCTGCTGGCTTTGCTTTGCTTGAAATGTGAGGGATGGTGGCTTCATGTCTTATAGAGGCATAATGGGGAATGAGGGCCTGGCCCCACTGGTGAAATGTTCATGCTATGAAAGCACAAACATGGCTGTTTTTACGAGCAGATTCATTGCTTTACGAGCACAAGCACAGCACCAGTGGGGCCTGCCCCTGTCTGAATCTCCATCAGTAGCCATGCTAAAGCTGATGGTTCCAGTTTTCCAAAAATTATGTCTGGACTGTGGACACTGCACGCGACGAGGACCTCATTTGTGATTCTGGGCCACACAATGGTCTATGAATCTAGACTCGTAATCGCTGCTAGATTCATCATGGTCACCCGTGGTATGAGTCAGATATACACAGTCAGGGTTCACCCTCCTCCTAATAAGTCGGTGAAACTCCGACAAAATATCAGTCACACAGCGCCAAATTTCTTCTCCTTTTCTCCCTTTCTGCCTATGCCTAACCAGGCAGTTCTTTGTGCCAATACATATTAGCACATATCAAATCAACTGGAGGAGCACACTCTGCAAAACAAACAAAAGAAATGAGCAGACAGCACGAGGCACACTGAAACCGCTCTTTTTGCCTTCTCCAGGTTTTCCTCTGCAGTTCTTTCTTTCTTTTGCCTTTTTCTCACGGTTTCTCTTTTATTTCTTCTTTCAGCTCTCCATCCACCGCCTCTCGCATGCAAGGTAGGTTTCCCACGTTGACCTACCTTCTTCCCCCAACTACAACGTACGGTCATTATATCTGTATCTAGACTGAAAGATGCCTCAAATACAGCTATAGTGACCGTACGACGCATATGTTGTATTTGGGGGAAGAAGGTAGTTGATTGCAGGCTGCTGAGCACCCTGGTGACACTGGTGTGCGATAACGGCCCACCTGCATGCTGCAAAAAAGGAGGCAGAGTAAAGGGAGAGAGAGACAAAATAGGTTCTGACTGTTTTTCTTTTTTCTTTATTTCAGCTCTTTGTTTATTACCTCTCGCATACAAGGGATGCCATGTTGACGTAGTTGAGCACGAGCCAGCTATACTCTGGTGTGCAATAACGGCCCATTTCCATCCTTGAGAAAAGGGGGCCCATTTGCATGCTGCATAAAAGAGGCAGAGTGAAGTGAGAGAGAGAGAGGGGATACAGGGAGAGAGAGAGGAAAGATTGAGCGGAGGAAGACAAACGGAAAGTAAAAGGAGTGTGGAATAAAGATGAGAGCACAAGGAAAATGATACAAGGAGGGAGACTCAGGAGTCAGCATGTGCTTGACAACTGAGGGGACGTGAACGGTAGGTATCAGATGGGTGAGGATGGAGGACATGGAAGGCCATTGCTGAGGAAGGTCCTCAATAAGAAGGTCGTCATCAATAAGACGGTCGTCAATAAGAAGGTCGTGCAAGGAATGTGAGTGTGAACGATATACAGAAAACCAAGTTGCGAAATCACACAGATGTCTGAGTAGTCGTGTACAAGCAGAGAGCACAATAGCACCGAGAATCCATCCAAATAGAGCAGTACAATGAAGTAATGAGCCAATTTCAAGCCTGTAGGCCACACCAACACAGAATCCAAAGTCGCTGCTCTCTGTCTGGCGCCCAGCACCCCAGCCTACTCTACTCTACTAGCCTACCTACAGCTGTGTTCACGCAACCGGCTCAATTCGACTCTCGAAGACCAATGTACATGACTGTCAACACCATAGCCGACCTCTCTTCATGTACCAGGTACGTATCTCGTCACCCTCAGTCAGACCTTGATAACCCCACACTTGCCTCCTTCCCTGAAGACCACCAGATCACCCGCATTACCCCCTGGCACCCAGCAGCCCGGCTATGGCTGCCTGCGCCCCGCTGCCCAGCAGCGTTCCACTTCACCTCAATGCGCCCCGTCAGCGCCCTTGGCCGCAGCGCAGCAGCACTTCCGCATTGGCTACCGCAGGCCAGAATCCTGGCCTGCACTGCCTCACTTCTTTTATGGAAGTGGCAGCCTCCTGGATGCTGCGTGTGGCCTGGCTGGAAGCTTCCAGTAGCTTCCGGTTGGGCCTCAGACCCTGCGCCCAGGCCCGAGACTACAGTTGAGGGCCTGGGCCCTTTTCAGTTGGGCACGGCCTGAGTCTCCGGAGTTGGGTTGTTTGCTGCATCCGTGCAGGGCTCCCAGATAGGTGCGTCAGTACTGCTTTTTCAAAGGCCGATGGCCTGCGTGCCAATGTATCGGCCCTGCTTTGTGTGTATGTGCCCAGGTGCAACTGTCAAGGCCTGGGCCAACTGTACGACGCAGCTTAGTGAGGCTCACGTGTCTACCCGACCAACTGGCGTGCTGCGAGAGCCTGAATACCCACATATGGAAATGTCGAATTTTGGCCTTTGATGAATATTCAGGCCCGCCTTCACTTAGGGCGGGCACTTGGCTTGCTGGGGCCTTAGCCCAGAACATATGATGTCTGATAGGGCCCCTTGAGGGCGTGTTCCTCACAGTCGTCAATAAGAGGTGACAAGTGAAGGCATATTGCTGAGCACCACGAAGATCACGCTAAGAAAGGCCATCAACAAGCACACTTTGTATCCACAGATCGTCAGATTGACAATGTCTGGGCCAATGGAATGTTCGACAGTGTGCTTTCAAAGTGTGCCATCTGCAGTGGACAGATATATGTCCCATACAACAAGAGCGGAGACATTGAAGAGATGGAGAAACAGAGAGGGTGTCCGTGCCTGAATCAGCTGTCCATTGGCCCCAACAGGGCCCTCTAATTGTCATGTTCAGGGCATTGCAGCACAAATGCTCGTGAGTGTGCCGATAAGCGTGAGCTTTTTGTCAACAGCTTTTGCCCCATCATTCAGAATGCGATCATCAGGAAGGTTGGTGTACATTGTGGGTGAAATCGACAGTGTTCGGAGAGAGACAGTGAAGAGAGAATGCATTACGCTTAACCCACCAGTACCTATCGCTCGCGTTCTCCGACCGTTAACGTGCCAGATGACGGATAGTGTGTGGATGAATCGGCCTGCCACGCGGGTCTGTGTTCATTCGAAATGGCGCTAAAAAAAAAAAAAAGGAGAAGCTTTGACCTCCAGGTACTGGTGGTTTAAGGTCAAGCGTAACATCATTGGCGCTCTGAACAATCCAGCACCGTTTAAACCACCAGTACATCCAGCTATCGGCCTCGGGCCCTTTTCGGAGGCCGCCTGATTTATCTGTGGCACAGGTTCTCCGAAAATTTTGTAGGCGACGAGTTTTCTTTTCAGCAAGGCTGGGGCCGTGTACTTGCGGTTTAACCCAAAAAAAAACAGGTCCCCATGGTCCTGGATCCTTGTCCATTCTTGGGAGCCTCAGTATGGTTCCTTTTTCTGAATCTTGAAGATTGGATTAAAAAAAAAAAAAAAAAAAAAAAAAAAAAAACGGGTCTTTACGGTCCTGTCTCCTTTTCCATTTTGGGGAGCGTCAGTCCGGTTCCTTGAAGATTGGATTCCAAAATACTAAAATGAAATCTGACTCGCTTTCTTCTTCACTTCGCATGCATGCAAAATCCAAACTGGCACCAGGCGCCCACACAAAGCTCAGAGATATGAAGACCAAGAACACAGTCCAGATACAAACTCGCTGCAAACTGGCTATGGCGCCTAGGTGCCTCTAGTTCTCACATCCGACACTGTGTCCACAACTCGTTCACACACACTTAACTCCGGATCACCCTGAATATCCCACGTGCCTCCCTGTTTCACACACGCACACACACACACCTTAACACCTAGCGCTAGCTATGACAGCTATGGCTGCCGACTACTACTAACTATGGCGCACCATCTTCTACACGGCCCACTTCGACCTCGGGCATCTGCAGACCACCTCGCACAAGACGCATCTCGAGCGTCTGACTTTTCTCCATCTTTCCTTCTTCATCCAAGTCTAGTCTGTGTTCGGAGAGGAAGGCAGCAGGCGGGATTGCAACCCGTAAGACCGCATCAAGGCTTTGTGGGGGTTGACCCACCGATTGCGGGAGCACTGCCGGAGCCCAGGCGGGACTCTGGAGGCAAGGAACTCAAAGGTAGACCGACACTATACCGTTAGAATCCCAATAAACCCCTATCTTACAAACCTGGCATTTGATCTGTGTGACTTTGACTTATGTATATGTTTTGTTTTCTTTTTCAGGACTTTAATTAAATCAGAAGGGGAACCTACTATGCATGTTTAAGTCATATGTCTGTGGTAAAAATCACGATTTTTGCATGCGATGATTTGAATTGGGGCAAGAGATGAGGTCCTCCTGACCGATCTGGTCACCTTGCTCGTTTTGCCTAAAACATTGAACTAGGGCTGGAGATAAGGTCCTCCTGACTGATCCGGTCGCCTTGCTCGTTTTGCCTAAGACATTGAACTGAGGCTGGAGATGAGGTCCTCCTGACTGATCCGGTCGCCTTGCTCGTTTGCCTAAGACATTGAACTAGGGCTGGAGATGAGGTCCTCCGGACCAATCCGGTCGCCTTGCTCGTTTTGCC